TCGCCCTGAATCCATGTTTTCACAGATGCTGCCTTCTATCTTTCGTTTCCTTTTGGGGGGGTATTTGTTTATCTGTCTTTTATTATCTTATGAATTCCAGAAGGGTTGGAGTTCTCCCCTGTGTGTGTTGTAACTTATTACAATATGCTTGCATAGAGCATTCTACTGGAGGATCCCCACAGAATCAGTTAATAGGAGTGGGCAAAACTGTTGTGTTTTCCAGTGTAATGGGGAAACACGTTTGAAAGACATGGACAAGATATAATTTTCTTTACATCTCTATCTCTCTGCTCTCTTTCTTGAATATCTTAAGTACAGTCTGTGTGCCTTCTATTAAAGAAATAATAGGGCTTTAGTAGATACAGTGGTCACTACCAACTTGAATCATCAAATTTGAGTTGTTTAATTAATTGTTTTAGTCTGCTAGAAGGGGCTCTCTACTCAGTGTTCTTCCTATCTTCTCAGGCCATGAATTGTAGTGTCCACAAGTGTCCTTCGTCAGGAGCTGCTGTTGGCCATTCGTTACTTTTCTAACTTCACAGGACCTCTTTTTCCAGTTGCCCATTTAGATTTGCACTCAAGTCATTAGAAAAACCATGTAAAGGACACTCAGCTGTAGGAAGTGGTATGCAGCCAATAGCATGTCAAGCCTCAGTCATTACATCTTTAACTAATTTGGTGGTAAGTGTTAATACAGTCTCAGAGATCAGGAGATGCAAGAGTCTGATGACCGCATGTTGGTTCAAAATATCTTTAGTGGTATGGGAAAATTTTATTTTGTTTATGTTTTTGGAGGGTGGTTTGAGTTTGAATCCAAGGTCACACACATGCTTCACAAAAACACAGCCACTTAAATACAATCCCAGACCCAGAAATATTTTATGTTTCTTTTAACTTTCCACATAATTTGTCATAGTCTTTTAAATATTATTGCATACAGTAGAGAAAATAATTCTAAAAATATAAAATTATTAGTACAGAAACACTTGAAATTTTATATATTGACTTGAAAATTGTATCAAACTTCTAAAACAAAATCTTGTTTTAAAAAATTCACTGGACACTCTGTTTTCTACATTTTTTAAACTCTGCAATATTTGTTGTTTTGTAATAACATAATAACAGTAAGTTCCTAAAATTGAGCTTGTATCAATTTAAGTTGAGCCCTGATTTATTAATCTATTAAGTTTATTCACATATGTGACATAGGTTTCTCCTTATGTGTTGGAGAAGGCTTTCTGTTTCTTCATTTTGTTGTGCTCATGGTCAAACTCAGGACTTTATGCAATCTGACAAAGCGCCTTATGCCTGCTCTACATTTCCATCCCTGGGTTCTTGTTTGCCAAGTGCTTAATATGTGCATATTCCTAGAAATAGGTGTAGTGTTCCACCTTTTTATTACTCTGCTATTTTTTCTAGTGAGATTATATGCCTCCATTATTACGTATTAGCTTAATCCGCCTAAGAACACCAATAGCAATTATGAAAATCCATCGTTTCTCAGAATGTGCTAGAAGAATGTAAGTAGAAACCAAAGGCATTGTCATTACTCTCAAAGAAACTGTAATCCCTTTAGAAGTGTTTTCCTGTAGTAAAGGCAAAGTGTACTGAATTGTGTTGGACAAGTCTCCCAGAATGTACAGGAAGCAGATAATACAACAAATAAAACAAGCGAGAGTTGATATTGAGGATATTCAAGCCTCCGGCAGAATAAAGAGAATGTTGAGATCATGATCAGAGCCAATGACTGATAGAATATAACTTCCCTGAAAGAAGGGAGAAGAGGCTATAAGCCAAAAAGAGACACCTCACTGAAGAGGGTTGTGATTGAGTCTGCTTGCCTAGGGGAGGAAGAGGGAGGGGCATCATGATCCACATGTTGAGAACCAATATTCTAAGATAAATTATTCAACATTCAGAGCTTCCCAAACATTATATAAGATCATTATTCAACATAGGTGTTTAATGAATGGCGACTAGGTTCCAAGTACCATTATAAATGCTAAAGTCATGGTGAAAAACAGGATAAAGTGGTACAACTTTTCACTGGTGACTGTGTTACAGAGAGGGAGACTCATGGAAAGAGAATGGATTGACCATACAGGAGGTAATGAGAAGTGCCATGAAGAAAAATAAAACATGGTACTCTGTGGAATTTAGTCAAGGAGGAAGAGCACCATTTAAATTCACTCAGAGATAACACAGAGCCCTCTGTACCAACAATGTATTAATTATTTTAGACTGGAGAGAGAGCTCAGTAGTAGAGTCCATGCCTAGCATGTGCAAGGGCCTGGGACCAGTTTCCTACAGTAAGAACACAGAGAGAGGAAAAGGGGGAATGGGGGAGGGAGGAAGGAGAGGAAGAGAGAGAGAGGGAGCAAGAAGGAGAGGGAGAGATCGAGTTTCTGCACTAGAATAATACAGCCACTGAATCAAGTATGTCTGTTTCACATGGGTCCCTGCACAAAACACTCGTTCCTGGGGGTTTAAGAATGGTTGCATACATTGGATAAAAGAGGCTGGAGTTGAACATTCCTGAAGTAAGCAGAATAAAATTTGCTTATTTTAAAATTATTTTCTGAATTAAATCTTAAAACGAGAGCTCCCTGATGCTCCACTCACTGCTTAGGTTTGGCATTTAGTGTACTGCCTTCTTTCTTTTTAACCTATTGCAGGTTATTTTTTTCCCCCAAGAAACGTGAATAGTTTTCTTGCCTTACAAAGGACAATACCCCTTCCTTTCCATCCATCCATCTCTTAGCTCCCACCACAGGTCCAGTGGAAGTTGCTGTTTGGAAAACAGTTCTCTTTTCTTTTCTTTGGCACCTCTGAGATGACATCCTGTTGATTTGGGCTCCATTACCCTCTCCACAGACATGAAGGAGAGTGCATTAGCATCCAGAGTGGAAGACCGCCTGTAATGTTTTAGGTCCACAGAAATACTTTCAAGCTTCATTCCAAGTCAGTGGAGCAAAAGTTTCCAGTGGAAAGACTTCAAGTCTTCTTTAAAAATGGAATTGTATCTCTATAATTTCCATAATACTAACTTCAGAAATAGGTCTGAGTCAAAATGGTTTTCATACTATCTATGCAGTGAATAATTAGCCTGTTTCTTTCAGATTCATGGATTCATGCTTTCTTGTTTATTCTGATGATAATATTTACATTTGTAAAATTAAATAACACTGAATGCATAGTGTACTCCTAATAGTTTTAGTTTTTTTCTATAAGAGAAATGTTTGCATAGAAATTAAAAAAATTGTTCTACCAAATAGCAAGTAAGTGTGATATATTTAAAGGCACTTTAATCATAGAATATGTTCTACAGATGAGAAAATTAAGTTAAATGTTGTCCCTAAGAGCACACAGCAATTTGAAGCAAAGCCGGGACTTTCCTCTCTTTCCATTTATTTCTCATTTATTCCATGGGTTTGAATGTAGCATGAAGTTTGAATACATACAAAGGGAATATAAGAACACAAAGATGTATTCAGATCTTGGTCAATTTGGGATTGTAAATAATGACAATTATCCTTGGGAGCCACTTTTCTTTCAGTCATTATCACCACTGAGTGTTATCAGGCCTAACAACACTGGGGGGTGGGGGCGCTAAACTGTAGAACTGTATGAGTTTCCTTCTTGCAAGGACTTTAGGATATGTGGATTCCCCTCCCCGCCCCCGTGTGTCTTTGCCATTGTTTTATGAAAATGAAGAAGTCTCTGTGTAGTAACATGTTGAATAATTTAGTAAATATAGGAGAAAAACAATACTGCATTCTACTTTTGAAACACGTGTGCATGAGTTGAGGAACTAAGTTCTTGGTCCAATTATATTCTCAAAATCATTAGGAGTTTGAGAAAGTAAAATTGTGTTGACCTACAATGTGAGAAGAGCCCAGTTTATATCTGGAAATTATTTGAACTTCTCTTTTTAAATGACTGGACTTTATTTTGACTAATTCAATAAAGAGCCTTTGTCACATTGAATTTATACAGGTAGACATAATTACTGGAGTTACTTTGTCTATATGAGAGTTTCAAAATAAAAAATTTATTGGAGTACAAGATAGACAAAGAAGCACTCACAAGTGGTACATTAACAGGCCATGAATATTATTAAAATTATTTATTTTCTAGTTATTGTTCCTGGTGTATTTTATGCTGACTTTGCAGTCTGTACTCTTGCCGCATTTACCTTCCAATTCTGCTGATTGCCTGTAGCTCCTTTTGGATGTTTGTGTACGTAATCATGCCATCTGTGAATAATGGCAACCTTGCTTATTGTCCTTGTCTTATTGTCTAATCGGGGCCAACAAATGTCTGTGTCTGAAAATGTGTATGTAACTCTTAAATTTAACTTTGACCTTGAAATAATATTTTTAGTGGATTTCGAATTATAAATTGGTGGTGTTATCATGATTTTAAGTGCTATTTCGTGATTTCCCTTATTTTAGTTAGGAAATCATCTTGCTTTTAATTCTTTGAAGAGACACTTTAATCCTGGCTCTTAGAACTTCCTCCCTGCCTCGCTCACACTTCTCAGTGATTGGTGTTTCCTGAGGCTTCCTGTCTTTGTCGAGTGTGAAGAGGTCTTGGCTATTAGACCTTCCACGTTGCTCTCACTCCTCCACAGGGTCCTGTTTCCACAGACTGGGATGGCTGCTGCACATGCGCCCTCTGCTCCCCTTGCTCTGTGCGTTTTTTCTTTTCTCCCCATGTTTCAGCTGGAACATTGTCCCTTGCCTTACCACAGTCCTCTCTTCAGCTGTGTCTAGTGTCACTAAATCCACTTATTAAGCTAAAAGTATCTCTGTCTCTCAAGACGTCACATGTACAGACAAACATGCTAAAATCTCCATAATATACACATCTAGACATCTAGGAATAGCCATACATATTAGGAACTATTGCAGACCATTATATCTATCCCTGTTCAATCATACCCCCCCGCCCCTAGAAATAGTCAGTAACTTGAACTTAATAGTAACATAAATTCCAAATCTTAAACTAGAGGAGATTATACTAAGTCAATCTAAAAAGACAAATACTATATGATTTCACTTATAAGAAATATTTAGAGTAGTAAGACTCATAAGGACAAAGAGGGGGGTGGCTGTAAGAGACCAGGGAAGAAGGGCATAAAAATTGTTGTCTAATGAATATGGGGGACTTGGTCTTACAAGAAAGTGAGTCTTGGGGATGGTGGTGGTAGTTACATACATTGTGAGTGCAGTGAACACTATGGGAAGAACATTAACATCATTAAAAGTCAGGACTTGAAAAGATGGCTCAGCAGTTAAGAGCATGCCCCGTTCTTACAGGTTCTCAGCACCCAAATGGTGGCCCACGACCATCTGTAACTCTAGTTCCAGGGGACTTCATGTCCTTTCCTGACCTCCCTGGGCACCATGGACATACCTGGTGCACATACATTCAGGCAAAACACTCATCCACATAAAATAAAAGAAATACAATTCATACTGTATGTTTCACCATAATAAAAAGTTGACAGAAACTTGACAATCCTAAAAAATGATTTGAGTCTAAAATTGTATCATCCAAAAGGACTGACTTGTCACTGCAGCCGTATGACTGAAAGGAGATGGCATTTGCCCAGCTTGGCACTGCTGGTTGAAGCCACATTGAATGTGTTGAAGGCTGATCTACTCTTTGCCTTTACTCCAAAGAAAATGTGCTAAAGATTTCTATCTAAAAGCCTGGAGTAGACAGCAGGGCTTCTCTGTGAGAGATCCTAATCAGTGCCTGCTAGTCCCAGCTCCAAACTGCTCAGTTCTGTTCTGCCTCTCAGCCTTTTATGCTTAACCAGTGAACACCACCCTCCCCCAGGAAAGTGGCATCAAATATTGGATTTAGATTCCAAATTTTCCTTTATCCCCCCTCCTCCCATTGAGATTTTGGTCTTCAAGATTAATTGACTATCTACATAGCTTTCCAATCACTTAAAAAATTATTGTACCTGCCAGACCGCTCATCGGGTAAAGGCCCTTGCAGTTCTGCCTATTATTCGGTCCCTGGAACTTACTTGGTGGGAGACAAGATCAGACCCTGCAGGTTCTCCTCTGACCTCTGCATGGGCACTGTGGCACGTGCGCGGCCCTCCCACCACACAAGCAAAATGGAGAAATATAAATAAATAAATAATAAGTAATAAATAAATGGTAAAAAAACACTATTAAATTCTTCATACAGACCCCAGTGAATTAACCAGTTTAAAACCTTTCAGAGTATTAGTCATAGTGCAAAAATGAGTGTCCGCTCAGACTTAGATCCCTGTGTTTCCACTTAGATTATTTTCTTAAAAATCAAAGCTGGTTTTCTACAGAGGCTTCGACTCCCTGCACAGCGGCAGTGAGCATGTCTAGGTTTCTCATCTGCACCGAGTCACGCTGGGTAACTGAGTTAGTTACCTGTTAAAGCTTCGGTAATCAGGCAGTTCTGCCTTCCCTTCAGGCTTGAAAAGTTTCGGGTACAAGGCCTCGAGGAGCTCGGGGTCGCTGCCAATGGCTTGTTCCCAGGGTGACTGATAGTACTTGGGAACAGCGGTCGTGTTAAATCTTTCTGGAGGTATTTCCTTCAGGGGTCCAGAGTACCCTTTGGGGGCCAGAGCAAAAGTGAATAAACAGAGTGAATAAACCTTATTTACTGAAAGCCACCTAATATCGCCCTGCAGTTGGTGTTCCTTGCTGGGGTAAGTTTATGAGGAACCCTTTCTGCGAGTAACCTGAGAGCTGCAAACTGAAGTGGAGACATTTAAAAACTCTTAAGCTTAAGGACCTGAGAAATGAAGACACTTATCATCATCATCATTATCATCATCGTTTATTAACACTTATTATTTTAATGATTTGCTTTTCCAAACCATGCTGTTTTTCCCTTGACTATAATTTGCACTTATTTAAGTAAAACTACTATTTTAAATGTGCTTTCTGTTATTTTACACTGGACTCAAAATAATTTTTTTAAAGAGGAGATGAGTGCCCACTGTAGCCTTATTGTTATGAAGTTCTTCATGCACACACTAATTACCTAGTTAAAAATTTTAGCCAAACAGTGATGGTGCACACCTTTAATCCCAGCACTCAGGAGGCAGAGGCAGGTGGATCGCTGACTTTCAGGTCAGCCTGGTCTACAGAGTGAGTTCCAGGACAGCCAGGGCTACACAGAGAAATCCTGTCTCCAAAAGGAAGAAAGAAAGAGAGAAAGAGAGAAAGAGAGAAAGAGAGAAAGAGAGAGAGAGAAAGAGAGAAAGAAAAACATTCAAGTATTATCAATAGCACAAAAATGAGTGTACAGGCTACTAATGACTACTGAGAGAGGGAGAATTAGCCTCGCCTAAGAATGAGTGGCCCCCATTTGTTTATCCAATACAAAGTAGTCAGCCCTGAAACCATATACACACAAACAACAAAAATAGACTCAATGAATTGTCTATTCATATATATGTAATGATACGATATATATACATACATACACACATAACATATATGTAATAATAATAAAGAGGCTATCAATTTGAGAGTGGAAAGGAACATGGGAGGGGTTGGAGGGAGGAAAGGAAAGGAGGAAGTGTATAATTATATTTTAATTGAAAATATATAATTAAATAAATAAAATTCTTAAAAATTAACCAAGTAAAGTACACATTATATCTTAAAGACTGTACTCATCACACTTAGTTCTCACCCTAACTTGTTTTCCTTCTTTTAAGGATTAAAAAAAGTCAAGCCAAAATAAATTATTAGTAAATAGTGCAATAGTAAATTAAAGAGGAGCAGACAGACAGAATCACAGTGTTGAATTCAGCCCGTTGTGATCTGAAACCTTGCTTCTGTTGCAGCTTCTGTTTGGAACAATTGAAGAACTCTGTTACTGTATTAATTTTAGTATATTGTGCATATAGTATAATTTAGTATATTTAACTGTGCTTACTTGTTTTCTGGCAATGTTATTTTAGTGTGTCTATTCATGATTTTTCTCAATGTGATCAATCAGAATGCTTCTACACTAAGTTCAGCAATGACTGACGTTCAACTTATTTTTCTTTAAAGAATAAATGTTAGTGATTTGGCTCACCTATATTCTAAAATAATTCCTTACCACTCTTTGAGGAAAACTCTTCAAGTGCTTTTCCTAAATTGTTTATTCATTTTCTAGAAGCCAACATATATTACTCATTTCACAGTTCAGTCCCATAAATTAAAAAAAAATCTACTTTGCATATTACTCTTAAGACTGAATTTTCAAAGACAAAAAACTTGCTGTATGTTATTTTTAAAAGTTATCAATTAATTAATACATTTTTTCTAAAGATCTCTCTCAGCAGGTAATAATATTTCTAAATGATACATATTAACTTAATAGGATTTGTTGTTAAAACAAACTAAAAATCTATGTTCTTTTTTTTTTGGTTTTGTTATAGTTGTTGATATTATTTGTTTCTTTTGAGTCAGGGTCTAAGTAGCCCAGGCTGACCTGGAACTCATAAACCACCTGCCTTAGCTTCCAGAGTGCTGGGATGGAAGTATACCTGGCCAAATACATGTTCTATAGACTGCATATAAACCCTTTAAGAGAACAGAAACCAATGAAAAAAGCTAATTACTGAGAGCTGCCTCCACATGCACTTAGCAGAAGTCACAGAGTCTCTCTCTCTCTCTCTCTCTCTCTCTCTCTCTCTCTCTCTCACACACACACACACACACACACACACACACACACCACACATGTGCATACACTCATACACATACACATGTACACTATACACACACATGCATGTTCACACACTCTCACACAAACCAAATTAATTAATTAAAAAAAGGAATACCATGGAATGTCTGAAAGAACAGATAACTACTATAAATATTTTACATGGTTCTCTTAAACTTAAATTTTATTTTTGTCTTAGACTTATGAACAAAATATATTTAATGAGCAAAGCTATATCACTTAAATGCCATTTAATGAAATGTCAAGGAATAGTATTTTTAAATACATAGAAATTTTGCTGTTCCATTTGAAGGTGGTTAGTTACCTGGTGCAATGTTCTCTGGATTTGGGGGGCTTCGTGGATCTGGGGTGTTGGGAGGAGTCGAGGGGGCTTGCTGTGAACCACCTTCCAGGTTGCTTCCATCAATTTTCCCATTCTGCATAGCAATATTGTGCTGTATTTGTTTAAAAGTAAAATAAAACTATTAGGCACAGTAAGAGCATATGAAAACTTCCATTTGTATATCAAGAAATTAAACACAATGCCACCATTTTGTTTCTCAGAACCTCAGTAATTTACGTAGTATTTCTTTTAAATTATTTAAATGATTATAAATTATCACTAATTTATAATGAAGTTGAGCAGCTCAATGAAAACTTTTGTGTATGTCAGGCTATAATCCACTGGACAAAAATTAAAACCAAAATTAATTGAGCATTACTGTGTGTATGACATTGTATTTGATTTCTGTTCATAACATCACCATGAGAAATCTGCTTGATTTTTAAATCTTTACCAATCTAATAAAACAAAGCATATTGGTCAAACATTTGACCTAGATATTCTTTTATAAAATAATGTTTTATTAATACTGAGAATTCTATACAATGTATTTGCTCATATTCATCTCCCTCCCAAACTCCTCCAAGATCAACCCCACTTCCTTAAACTCCATGTCTTCCCTTCTCCATAGAGTCCAGTATGTATTGGCCAACTAACTACTCCTAGGTGTGGGGCTTGTCCTGCAGTGTGGTCGACCAGATGTCACACTATTAAAGAAAACTGACTTTTTCTTTTTCAGCAGTAAGAGATCCTTAGAGAGGGTTGGGACTTCATGCCCACCTCCCCTCTCCCATGCTGGGGTTCTGTCTGGTTTGAGCTTGTTCAAGTCTTGTATACACTGTCACAATTGCTGTGAGTTTATAGGTGCATCTGTTCTGCTTTGTCTGGAAAATGCCATCCACTACCCCTGGTGGTTACAATCTTCCCACCCTCTTGTCCACAATGATTCCTGAGCCTGAGAAGAGAGCTGTGATACAGATGTACCATTTAGGACTGAGAACTGTGAAGTCTGTTATTCTCTGCATGTTGACCAATTGGAGTATCTTTGTTAACAGTTATCTACTGCAATAAGAAGCTTCTCTGATGAAAACTGGACAGTGAACTGACCTGTGGCTATAGCAATATGCCAGTAGGAATCATTTTAATGCTGTGTCTTTTAGCAGAATATACTTGTAGATTTTTCCCCCTAAGGGCCATGACATTTATAGCCACAAGGTCTTGGCTTTATTGATAGTGTCGTACTTAAATCCAATGAAAAAGTGGTTGATCACTCCCATAAAATTTGTGCCCCCATTGTACCAGTGGGTATGTCTGGCTAGGCCAGTCATTAATGTAATTTGCAAGGTTCACAGCAGGCTGTGATTGGTTTGATTGGAGGTTAAGAGTTGGATCTGATCTGGAAGTCTCCTCCCTGAGGACTAGCTCTTGAAGTTCCAGAAGGTTCTTCAGCCACAAACAGCACTCTAGGTCCCTTACACATGGCCAACTTCATATGTACACATGTCTGCTTTCAATCTAATTGAATCCTTCTTTTTTTTCCCACAAAGCCTTATATCGTGTAAGTCCTATGAGTAATCGTTGAATTTTTAGTGACTAGATTAAAGCTATCTGATTTCTTTTTGCAATTACCCTTTAAGTATCTTTCCTTTCTACTTTAGTCTGCCTGTGTATATCTTCCTTGACTATTTTTCTTTCAAAAGTTATTTTATGTTTAATTACATGCATGTGTGTCTGTGTATGGGTAGTGCATGTGAGTGTAGTTGCCTACAGAGGCCATATTGGGTTGACTCTTCTGGAGCTGGGGTTACAGGGAGCTGTGAGCTGCCATGTGGGTGTTGGGAACTAAATTTAGATCCTCTGCAAGAGCAGCAAGTGCTTTTGACTACTGAGTCTACCCACCTTCCTCATTCTTTATCAAATAGATGTTACCTTCTGCTCATTTCCCATCATGCACATTTCCTTTAGTCAGTTGGAACACAAATGCTTCAATGTATGACATGACTCCAGCCTTTAGGGACTCTTCCTTATTTCATGTTGAAGACCATTCAAACTCAAGTCCAGCCATTAAGACCTTGGGGTTACCTCTTACGCGTCCCAGCACATTTCCAAGATCTTATCTCCCATATTCCATATTCTTTCCTGCTCATTAATTTACTGTTGTTGCTTCATCTGCTTGGAATGACCGCCCTCTGCTCATTGTCAAGCCAAATCCTAAATTCTCTATGTCTTTCTTCAATTTCCCTCTTCTTTCGAATGTAGCCTACTAGAAATGCCACTGCATCGGTATTATCTCAATACTTTAACTACATCTGTACCATTCATTCATGACTTCTCTTATTTGTTCTTGTCAAATAGATTTTTGTTACCACATTCATGGCATTGTGAGTTTTCCACTAGTTTATAAACTTTTTAAATCTAGTTAGGCAACGTTGTTCTTCTTCTGTAGTTATACATAAGACTATTTTTATTCAGGTGGAGTGGCACATGCCTTTAATCTCAGCACTTATGAAGCAGACATAGGTGGAACTCTGTGAGTTTGAAGCCAGTATGGTCTACACAGTGACTTCCAGGCCAACCAGGACTGCACAGGGAAACTCAAAAAATTTTAAAGGTGATTTTTAATAATTACTAAATATAAAGCATTTGCATATATATATATATATATATATATATAATTCGATGTTTGACAGTTTGAATTTAACATCTACCTCAAGTGTTTTACTTAATTCACTATATTAATATTTTACCTACCTAAATTAAAATGTTGTTGAGATAAATGTGGTAAGGTACAAAGCATAATGGATTAAGAGTTGCCATTTGTTAAGCTTCTAGAATTTGTCTATGAAATGAGGTTCACCTATGGGAACAGGTAATCCTACCCACATTCATTTTAGGGATCATGATTCCAGCCCAATGGAAGCTTCTCCTGAGGCTTACAATGAACAGGAAGGTCAGCTCTGGTTAGTCATTAGCAGGAAGGGCCCAAGACTTCTAGTATTAGAGGTAGTGTATAAACAAAGCCCTTTGATGCTCTGCTGATGACTGATTGTGACATTATCATAGGTTAGTGTATAAACAAAGCCCTTTGATGCTCTGCTGATGACTGATTGTGACATAAGCCTTAAATTATAGTGTTCATCATTTGTACTTCCTGTCAGAAAGGTTGAAAAGACAAACGAAAAATGTGGTTTTTACTTTAACAAGGCTAACCCTAAAGAAAATGAAACCGGAATAGAGCTGTATAGGCTAAAAGTATGCAAGTTCGAAACAAATATACAATACACATTACATGATTCCTGCAGAAATGACAAGAAAGATAGAGTTCTTTGTAAACTTTACATCAAATATAAACAAATTGTTTTTTAAACAATAATAAGTATGTGTTAACACTCCCAATATAGCTTGGTTAGTCTTACTAAAGAATTGGGTGTTTTTTTTTTTTATCGTAAGTTTGTTTTGATATATTAGAGAACATATTTTGGAGAAAATGAACTGTGACAGTCTAAAATCATAACAAACTGAACTATTTTGTGAGGAAATAAAATGCCTCAGTACATTTTCAAATGTGTGCTTTCTGTTTTTCTTTTAGTTTTAAATTGTATCTTCTATTTTTCGAGAATATAAATTACATCATTTGCCTTTTCCTTTCCTCCCTCCAAACTCTCCCATATATCCCTCCCTGCTCTCTTTCAAATTTATGGCTTCTTTTTTCATTAATTGTTGTTACATACATCATATATATGCATATATCTCTATATTCTTAAATACATAAACACAACCTGCTCAGTCTGTGTAATGTTACTTGTATATATGTTTTCAGGGCTGACCATTTGGCATTAGGTTGCCAATTGACAGGCTCTTTGCTGACAGAATTGCCTTTTATAGTACACTTTCCTAGGAAATTTTAGAGATTGAAAAAAGTTCAATATCCATTTTCAGTGACTTTTACAAGATATGTATGTTTAGGGTGCCTATAGCTCAATGGATGGGGAAGAGTAAAAGCTTTCTCCAGACAATGTAATCAATAATTAGGTTAATGGCTCATGATACATTAAAAGGAGACTGGCCTGGGAATCAGTCACTGAGGTATTGGTCTTGTCTCTCCTATCAACATGTAGTTAGTTAATTTACAAGTTTCTTTGTCTTTCTTAATTTCTTTTCTTATCTACAGAATATGGGGATTCAAATCCTCCCTAAGATGCTGTGTGACTGTACAATCTCTTTGTGACATGATTTTAATTCTAAAATGTGCCTGAGGAATATGAGGAAGGCAGCATATGTAGAGCCACATTCACTTTGTCACAGAAGATGACATAGTCACTGCAGTATGAACATTGTTCACATGACAGGAATTTTTAAAAGAATGCCTATTCCTGCCAATTAATTCATACCTTTGACAAGTATTTATTGAGTGCCTATTACATTGTAGATACTATGTTGGAAATTCAAAGGCAAATGAATGCATCCTTTGTCTAGAGACAATAAAAGCACACAATGTTAAAAGATAGAATAATTATTGCCTTTACAATCATTATTGGTACTTACTGCTATGAATTATTTATCATCATTAAATTGCTTTAGTGTGGTTGTTTGGGATTCTATTAATCAGTTAGTGTCCAATTTTCTTGGAATAGTAAAATTCTCAAGTCATATCTTCATAAATTTATTATAACTGAAGACAGATATATAAGATTATTGTCAACACCTTAAGATAGCCATGATGAGAGACTATGTTAGGTTCATAAGGACAGTTTTAATCCCATACATCAGTTGTTCTCAATCTGTGGGTTGAAACCTTTTCACAGGGGTCACCTAAGACCATTGGAAAGCACAGATATTTGGATTACAATTCATAATGGTAGCAAAATTACAGCAGCAACAAAAATAAATTTATGGTTGGGGCCAGCACAACATGAAGAACTGTTTTAAAGAGTCTCATCATTAGGAAGGTTGAGAACCACTGTCATATACCTTCTTCAAAGCAGTAGTTACACTGTTAGTGTTTGTAGCATAAGTGGGAGTCATGAAAACAGACATTATTCATTTACTGAGATGTCTGAACTCGCAGGTGATTTTGCAAGGTTTCCCCTAATCCACCTATTTCATATTACTTCATAAAAGGTCTTTGCTGTTGTTATTCTTTGATGAATGCAGTTACATAATAAACTATCAAGCAAGTAAAGATGATTTTCAGCTCATACTGTGTTAGCCACATATTTTCTGAGAAGAGGGTATAATAATAGGCTAAAATAACATATATTTACTCACGATTTCAAGCAAAAACTATCCTTCGCAAATGCAAATACTATAGTTGAGTATAGTTTTATATGTCTAGCTGAATTCGCAATTAAAACTAGAATTAAGCTATGGTTATTGATTGACTATAGTCCTGGGGATTGAACATGGGGCCTTGAACAAGCCTGGCAAGGATTCAAACATTACATTAAATCCTCAGCTCTTAAAAATCTTAATTAAGTCTGGCATGATGGCATGGGTCTTTAATCCCAGTTCTTGGGTAGAAGAGGTAGGCAGATCTTTGTGAGTTCAAGATTGACCACCTTGGTTTACACAGAAAGTTTCAGGCCAGCCAGGGTGGCATGGTGAGACTTTATTTCAATTTTTCCTTCATTCAGTTGTTAGCAAATATAACAAGGAAATAAGTATAAAAATAAATAACATTATTTTACTTTAACAGTTATCTGTATTTTATAAACTATCTTTCCTTCAATTTCTCTCAAAGATTGTTTAAATGAATGTGATGTTAACACATGTAAAATCTAATTTTTGCCAGTTTGAGAGAAGTTCTCCCTATAGTCTTGGCTGGTTTGGAGCTCGCTATATAGCCCAGGCTAGCCTCGAACTTGTGAATGATCCTTTTATTCTGCCTTCAGGATGATGGGACTATAGGTGTGCAACTCCACACCCAGCTGTAAAATATAAATTAAAATGTTAAGGTTTTGATGTTTACTGCCCAAAGAGTTAGGTCTATGTTGGCTTTGTCATGACCATGTAGAATAAATACTTTGAGGCAAGACTGATGGAGTTTGCAGTTCTCAGCATTTTCCAGGGCTGGGATGTTGTCAGCAAAAACAACTCTTATCCTTGCTTTGTGCTCCTCTGTGTGCTTTGGGAGTGTTTCCATCACAAACATTTAACTGTAGATGATAAGACTTGGAAACATCTCGTACAAGTTCTCTCCACTCACTCTCCATCCTCTTAGCAGAACAGGCCAGTTCCTCAGGGCCAAATCTACAGCTCACAATGTCCCTATTGAACAAAAAGCATTCTCATATCATACATAATGCCTCATTTATTTAACCACCTAAGCTATTCATCATCCTGAATAAAAAAGGTCTAATAGAATCACCCGAAAGAAGATATGTAAAGCAACTTGTTTGGGAGCCTGGTAACACGTACCAACTTAGGTATGTTGTTATTCATTTAGATACTCACGGTCTAGTTGTACCTACATTTATTTGTGCTTTAGTTTCATACTGGAAATTTTCAAAGGTATATTTGTCAGATCTTCTTTGACGCATCTTAAACAGTCTGGCGCCACGATTACTGAAATGGGACAATTCTTCTATCATGATGTCTCTGGGGATACTGACTTTTTTGCCCAGGTTCATGCCATCTACATCTGTAAAATGAAATGTACATTCATGAAAATCCAAAAGAAAGCATTTCAAAACACTTTATTTAGCTCTATAATTTGTTTCCTGCCCTACATTATAGTAAGTGATTGAGATGTGTTGCAGTAAGTTGGCATTGGGATACATTCTAGCCTCACCATTTTGGTACTTCAGGATCACATATGTTGCTTATTTTGTCTAAACCTTCACATCCTCATCTCTAATGTTCAGCTAATAATAGTGAGAATAATAATTATTGCAAGAGTTGGTATTAAATATAGTTAAGTTATATTTAATTAAGCAAAATATTTCATATAAACTACTTAGCATGTTACCAAGCACATAGAAAGAATGAATAAAAGTTAGCTGTCATACTCTTAGCACAATTTAGGCTTTCCAATTAGACTTTACAAACAGAACTGCTTCACATTTATATTAACAATCTTTGCTCTTCTCCCCACATTTCTGTTTATCAGTTTGAGCTTTGCATGCTCCTTCCAACCTACTATCTAGTCTCAGATAAATAGCATTGATTCTTTATATGGCACCAACCTGCATAAAGGGGGCAGGTAAGAAAAATCTTTCCCAATAAACTGAAATGCCACTTCTGTGAATCAATGCACTGAAGTCCATGTATGATTAAAATTACTAATGCTTCCATTGTGTCCAAAGAACTGAATCACAATTCTTTTATGGTTTGGATTTTCTTCTGGTTTTAATTTCTTTTGTACTTTTTATTGTAAATATAGAAAAAATGTAATGATTTTTTTTTAGCTGTGAGTGTGGGTGCATGCCTGTAATCCCAGAAGCCAGAAGTGGATGCAAGACAATTGTGAGTTCATAATCAGCTTGAGTTATATAGCAAGTTTGATGACAACTATGTTATATACTGATATTACATCTCAAAACAAACAAAGGGTTGTTCTTTTCTATTTCTAACACTAAAGAGCTTTCCCATATGTCAAGCAAGATGAAATTCTTTTACTTTCTTCTTTTGTTTTGAGTTCCATAAGTTTCCATAAATGTAATACTTAGACAAATCACATCAATAACTATCCAAAAGGTATCACTTTGTAAGATGCTAGATACTTTTGCTATTATCTATATGGGTCTTGAGGTTATTCCTAGCTATTGTAGATACATGAGGAAAATCTGAAAACACTATAGTGCTTGTAATAGCAGTGCTTTGTAAGGACATATGTGGCATTGCACTGTTGCATGTTTCTTCCCACACTTTAGTGCCTCTATGATAGGAGCTTGACGATGGCCATGGTGAGAGTATTCATAACACAAAACTATCAACCAAAGCATCACATCCTTCCATGCCAGGGATATATTAGACAACATTCATTGCATAATCAAACAACAAAAGACAAGTTGAATTCTCAAGGTTTCCTTCCCCTCGATTTTAAAGTAAAGTTTATGATGTCACAGAAGTTCAGAACCATCTGTGACCTGCAAATCTAATGATCACTCTCATTACTTAAAACTTGCAGTGGAGAGTGCTGTCTACCACTGTGCACACAGATTCCAAGCTCAGGTGTCTCTGCCCTTTAGTGTAACCCCAGCACCAGGTTTTAATAGTGTTTTTAATCTCCATGCCTGAGAAATGATACATATCCTCACCCTCATGACTTAGAAGGTTGTCTTTGAGGCATTAGATCATCCATTGAAAATAAAATTACTAGGCATACTTTCCTACTGCTGTCATTTATAGTGATATGGAACTGTAGTCAGATCCAGGAATCAAATCCACTTACAAGCAATTGGAGTAAGACCAAAGAAAGAGCTTTTAAAATTGCTTTCTCATGCTAGTCAGGCAAATGCAATCTTAATAGAATGTATAAACCACGGGAGGAGAGCTTGCAGGAGTTAATGTTACTTAGGTGGTCTTACTGATACAGAGACAGTTATCTGCACTTGCAAAGGACTCCATCTATAAGTTATAGTTCACAAAAATCTATCTTTTTATATAATGTAAGCTATGTATCACATAACATAAAACATCATAGTCCAGCCTGTGATCCTGAATAATGCTTGAAAACTTTTCCAACTAATAAAATTTTACTCGAAATTTTTTTCTAAATGAAAATGAATTTGAAATCTATACTGAGACTCTTTATGTTCCTATTTCAGATATCTTCATGAACTTTGAGGGCATTTTGTTGTTGTTATTTAGTTTTTTGTTTGTTTGTTTGCTTTTGGGACAGGGTTCCACTATAAAGATTTGGCTACCCTAGAATTTTCTAGGTAGATCAGGCTGCCCTTGAACTCACAGAGATTCACCTGCTTCTTCCTCCCTAGTGCTGGGATTAAAGGTGTGTGGATGACTTTCAGTTTAAGTTTTAATACTACTTATAAAGCTTTCCATTAAGGTGTGATTAGCTGTGAAGTTCTGCAAATGTCTAGGAAATCATATTACCAGTGTTCTGAGTTTCAGAACAGATCACCCAGTTTTGCCTGTCAGTTGAAGAACAGCCTGTCACAGTGAACAGCATTGTAGAAGTTCAGGGCTGTGATCAGTGTGAAATAGGATTCAGCTTTACTCTCTCAAGGACCTTGGTAGGTCAAGTGCTTAAGCTGGATCCTCAATGGGTGGCTATACACCATTTTTCAAAATAAAATATGCTCTATTTTCCCTTGAGATTATGATAGTGCTAATGGGAAAAGTTAAAGAAATATCACAAACTCCAAGATGGAATTGTTACCCCACCCCAAATTTTGAGATATATTAGAGCTTTCTGGTGTTATCATTTTGATATTGAAATTTTGATTGACAGAAAAAGTAAAAATTGATCCTCGCATAATCCTTCATCTGAAATTCTAGGCCTTGTGCTCTATAAATTTTCAAAGAGTCCTTGCAATTTCTGCACATGCTATTATTCCTTTTGTTACTGATGGAGAAACAGGCACAGCCATTCCTGCCTTTAGGCAGCTCAATGGATGGAAATGCGAAATTTCTGAGTCAGATGCACGGGGGAAATCTCATCCACACAGACCTCCATTCAGAATTGGGGATTTCTGATTTCAGACCACAAAGCTAAACTCTTTTCCTGAGATTACAAAAATCCCCTGGCTGTCTCCCTTCAGTGTGCCATGGGAAGCTATATAGAGAGGACAACATAAAGAGAAGGACAACAATCCCAAAAGCGTATGACAACAAAGCCCTCCCGCAGCAGAGCAGGAAAACCTTCTGATGGCCCCAACACTTGCTTTGTCATTTATCCCTGTCTCTCTTTGTTTAGTCTTCAGATTTGCAATGAGTTGCGGAGTAAGCAAGGATTACTGTTCATGCTGTAACCCCGTACAGATTCAAGGTAAACTGCACAGGGCTTGTGGGTAGAGGACTGTCTTTCCTTGCCCTCGCGACTCATCCATGTAGAGATGCAGACAAATGATTTCTTCAGTCCTGCATCATAGCACTTTTTAGATATTTGCAAACATGGCTGACATGCTGTTGTGTGAAACACTGAGGTTGTTGTTACAACGGTAACATAGGACCACTTCTTCCATTTGGTCCTCTCCTGTCAGGATGACAGTGCTCTACCATGGTGAGGCCGATCTGGGTGGATATCCCAGGTAATAGGAAATAATTTGTTTATTCTCTCTGTCTTTGTCTGTCTGTCTGTCTGTCTGTATGTCTGTCTGTCTCTCTCTCTCTCTCTCTCTCTCTCTCTCTCTCTCTCTCTGTGTGTGCGCACTCTTGTTCTTGCCTTCTACCTTGTGGATTCCAGAGATTGAATTCAGGTTCCAAGCTTGACACCTGCCTACTGAGCCATCTGGCAGGCCCTAGATACTTTTATCAGCTCTTTGCTGGACATGTGATATATGCCCTCCCATACATAATGGGACACCAAATTACGATGGGCCCATAATGAGCAATTTTTTGCTCATTATGGGCCCATAATGGGTGTAGTAAATGGGAACTAGGGATTTAAAAAACTCTTCTATCCCGCTAACTCTATAGTCTATATGGGTAGAATTTTTCACTAATTCTTTCAGGCAGTTTGTCCTTCTAATAGTAAGAGTGATGGAATGTGAAACTTTCCTTCTTCTATTTCCCTACTCATTTCAAAGTGTCCCCAGCTGTGGTCTCAGCCCCACAAGAACTGCAGTTGGTGAGCCTCATTCAATATTATTGTTTCTGGAGTGTGATAATAATGTCACATGGGTTATAATATTTAATGTTGCTCTTATGTGCAAGGAGACTACTGAGTCTTAAAATTAAGATCAGAACCCTAGCATATGTCAGCTTACACTATCCAGATGTTTTACAGCTGCAATATGCTTTAAAATATAAAGACTCATCCTCATGCTAGGCGTTGGTGGTGCATGCCTTTAGTCCCAGCACTCGGGAGGCAAAGGCAGGCGGATCTCTAGGAGTTCGAGGCCAGCCTGGTCTCCAGAGGGAGTGCCAGGATAGGCGCCAAAGCTACACAAAGAAACCCTGTCTTGAAAAACCAAAAAAAAAAAAAAAAAAAAAAAAAAAGACTCATCCCCCCCAATAAATGTTTCTCTGAAGTTCATATCTCATTTCTATGGCCTTAGAAAAGGTGACATTCCCCAGCTATAATGTTCTCTATTCTCTGCAGCATACAAATAGTTAAGTTCCATGCAAGACTCCAGCAGAAAGAAACTAAGTATTTGTCCTGCTTCATAATATATTATTTTTTAAAAATCTAGGGTGAGTCTGATTATCCAGCTTATCTAGAATATTCAACATCATAAAGCCAGAGCCTGGGGCTCCTCCTACAAGGTGAGCTCATCCAATGTTGGAGGGAAGGCTTTCACATGGCCAAGACTTCCTGGTGGGGAGGTTGTAGTGTTCCCCAATGATATATGTGTATTTTCTAAAAATAAAGCTTTCTAAAAATGAAGCTTTGCTTCTAAAAGGGAAGCTTTATAATAAAAATTATAAAAAGGCATTTTTTCTCCCATAGGTATAGGCAAGCAAATATAGAGTAGAATCTGACAAGATTTAGAATGAGATTATATTAAATGGATTTACTTACTTATGATTATGATATAATTAGATGGGGTCAGTTGTGTTCAGACAATTATGATGATGATGTAATGGAAATGATTTATGCAAAGCCTACTTTTACAACAAACCATTTAGTCTCAAACTTAAATTATCATCTGATTATTTTTTTTGCCATATTGACTAGGAAAGCCACACAAACAATTTCAAGTAAATTACCCAAAGTAGGACACCCAAAGATACATGCAAATTTAAATTTAATTGATATAGTCTGGTAGCTAGACCAGAACGATTCTCATTTTATTCTAGATGAATTTAGCATGAAAGTAAGGCTGAGAAGCAAGCAGAAGCCAGCACAGTGATTTAATAGCAAAGAGATTAAAGGCGAGCCGTACCCTTTCAACACGACTGTGGTATGTGGCCGGTATGTGAAACACTTTGATTGGTAGTTCAACTTGCTTTACAGAAAGGATGATGTGAAATGCTACACTCATCATGGTTTCCAGTTGCCTCACCAGGTTTCATGAGTCTAGATGTAAATATTGTCATGGTGCAGTGCTTCATTTGTTGTCAGCTGAACAAAAATAAAGGGACACCCTGCAAATTCCACAAACATGCCTGGAATGGCTCAGATCAGTGCTAAAATGGACCTGCATATTAAACTCAAATTATTCATGAACAAAATGAATTTGCTTTTTAACAAGGAAAACATGAGGCCTCCCAGAATTATTTGCTAGGATTTTAGAATAGTGACAATATTATTTATTATTGGAATAGTATCTTACATCTACCATATATTAAGAATTAAGTTGGTTTTGACATTAGAAGAACCCTATTTTTTCAGAAATCATAAGTAAAAGTAGATTTTGTGTGCAATATATGTTAGCAAATCAATTACTAAATGCGAATACTGGTGTCAGGTTTGAACAATGAATATGAACTCGTAAAAGCAATCAGTTGTTTTGTTTTGTTTTGTTCTGAAAATGTCTAAAGGCCGATTGATAGAACATATTTTGAATTTTTTGATGTAACACAAAGTAAAAGAAATCAAGATAGAACAAAAAATAGAGGGATGTATGAAAGTTATCTATAAACAAACAAGACCCATAAGCGTTATGCTCACTGACAATGTGAGAGGTAAGTGACTGGAGGGGTACACATCAGCTGTCAGCTTGCTTCATGCCTTCTGCAGCAGTTGTTCATCTGAAAATAGCTTCCAAATGAGAAAAGATGACTGCAAAGGATCCATTACCATAGGCTTTTCTGCGGTACCCTGAGAGCGTCACTTTGTTATGGGGGATAGGAAGTATTTAAGGGAGTGAACCATAGAATATTAGCACCGGAAAGGACCTATATTTCATGCTATGTTACATTAAGACCATGAAGAGTTTTCAGTGATACCGTTTCCATGGATTTCCTTTGTGATGGCTGATGCTTGCTGTTTCCTTTGCTTCACCATGGCACTATGTGATAGCATGGTATTTTTTTTTAATTCCCTGTTGAAAATAAAGGGACACTATTGAGGCATATGTGAAGAATTCGTTATGGTCATCCTTTCCACAAGAGAACATCTTTCTTCTTTAATAAGAATTTATTATTGCGTTGTACTGAATGGCCAGTGTATACTGCTTGTCTGTCTACAGTGCACATTTTTCAGCAGCAGCCCATGTCCCCATGAAGAGAGGGTGGCACAGTCTCAGACCCAATCCTCTGGTACACTGTCCACTGTGCATTGAGAAACATTCAAAGTCCCAGCTTCCTTGCTCCCCCCTCTCTTCCCTACACTTTTTTTTTCATCTGCCAGTGCTTCTATCCTGGCTGCAATCCCACCAGCATCAGAGAACATCACTTCCAGCAAACACTAAGAGTGAGGAAAAGGCCAGACTCAGCCAGAACTCTTTGGTAGTAACATTTCAAGTCAGCATCAACAGCCTCCCTTCAAAGCAAAGAATGGTCATTTATGAGTCACAACTCTGGACCTCTCGGGACAACTGACCAATAAGACATTTTAGGAAACAATATACTCACCTTGCTGCTAGACTGCACTTTTCAGCAGGGGTGGATCCCAGTTTTAGAGGAAGACGCTGCAGATGGAATATGATGGCACTTGGGCCTGATGGGTTTTATCCTTGAACCTGGAACGGCATGGTCCCTAGCTCTGACTCAAACAGGGGACAGAGCCTCTCTGAAGAGACTGGCATCCAGCTGACATCAACTGACTATATATAGCACCAAATACTTTAGCTACTCATATCTTCCTGGCGAAAGGGAGGGACAGGGAGAGATTAGGTTCTCTCTATTGTGTTTCTGGCCTCTGAAATAGCTGAATGAAATACTCATTCATTGGGCATGAAGAGCATTTTTTTATTGAAAACCTTCTGTTGGAAGCTAAGATGGATTTAAAAACATTTTAAAGATTGGGTTCTTATTCTATACCTTAATTGAGGTGACAAGAGACATATATTAATTAGAGCAAAATGATGGATTATTCAAAATCAAAATGAACTTTGGGGGCCCTGGAGAGATGACTCTGTGGTTAAGAACACTTGTTCTTGCAGAAGACCTGGGCAAAGATCACAGTCACTCACACGGTGGCTTACAGCTACCTGCACTCCAGCTTCAGAGGACCTGACACATATTTTTGGCCTCTATAGGTACCTGCATGGACATGCACACATGTGCTCTCTCTCTCTCTCTCTCTCTCTCTCTCTCTCTACACACACACACACACACACACACACACAGAGAGAGAGAGGGGGAGGGAAAGCGAGGGAAGAGGGGAGAGAGAAAAATAAAATAAACCTTTTTAAAAATGAACATTATGGGAAATATCCATGGGGCCTCATCAAGACCAAAAGTTGTGATGAGTTGGTCAATAGAGCCAGCCTATAATCAAAGGTGACAATTGCAGCTTTTAACAACAGGCAATATCTGAATGGTTACATGAAGAGAGTTTAAAATTGGCCATTATCAGTTGAGTCATGGAGCTGAAGGCTTCTAACTGGTTCACACTTTGGAAGGCATCCATAGAGGTTATCCCTACGAAGTTGCTCAGCCTCTTCCAGGCCTGGAGGGAAGGATTTCTACCTCAAGGAATGGTAACAGGAAAAGTCCTCGGAGTCAACCATCTTGGCTTCCTTGTTAGGCACTGATCAGAAAATCACGTTCCCTTCTCCTTCGTGGTATTTTCCGTTTACTCTTTCCCATTTCCAGGAACACACTTTCCCTACTCACCTGGCTCACTTCTTCACAAGTTCAGGGATCAGCTTGAGCATTAACTACTCATGATACCTTGTCCCAACCATCCTGCCTGCATCACACTGTACCACTTTCTAATCCCTTACTCAGTTTTCTGAATGTCTTGAGATTAGTCAAGAATAATATCATATGGGAGTGAGTGATAGAATCACCCACACACACACACTGAAACAAACAACCAAAAATGAGGTATAGTTTTGTTTGTCCCTCAAGGAAACTTAATCTAGAGTGAGGAACCTGGGTAGGTCTAATTGACCTAACTGAACTTGGCTCCCTTCTTTTTGCTGCATTATTATCCCTAAAGTGCAGACCTCTGAGGTCTAGGTGATTGTTAGAAGCTAGCAGCTAGCAGGCTTCTATGTCAACCATCAAAGAAAAAACAGAACATTCCCTCTTCCTTTGAAGATGTCTGAGTATTGTTCACCTCTCTCCTGTTTACATCCATGGGGCAAAGGTTAGTCATACAGTCACATACAAAATAAAAGAGTCATTTACTTTTTAAAAAAGGAGGTAACAGTTTCAGGGTGTCAGTTCCCAGTATATGCCCCAAAACATTAAATTAAAAGAGCATATGTCCAACTGAAATGAGATTGAACACACACACACACACACACACACACACACACACACACACACACACACACACCTGATATAGACTGTGAACCTAGCTATAGTATTAATTTTTAACACTGCAGGTTAGTGTTTCTCTCTTGCAGTTGCTTCTAAGCAAAAATTTGCCCAGAAACAATGAACCAATAAGAGATAATTTAGTTAAAGCCAACAAATTTTCATTCATTTCAAAATCCTTCAGTTAGCTGGTTGATTGGGGGTGCACAATTGCAATCAGCACCCATAAAGTGGGGCATGAGGAGGTCAAGCCATCAGCCCCATAGCCAGCAGTAGGTCAGCCTGGGCCCCCAAAATGAGAATCAAAACCAAAACCCAAATCTTTTAATTTTCCTTTATTCCTGACTCTAGCATTAGCTGTTAGATCTTTTAAATTTGTTTTCTTATCTGCAAAATGAAGAATACAGTATCTGTCATATAGTCACGAACAATTTGTATAAAAATTCCTTAAAGGTAGTAAAAGCTTTAAAAATGTTTGTTTCACTATTGTTGTCCCTATAATATGAAAGGACTTAGGATAATCAATTGGATAATTTAATAAAAAACAAAGCTGGATTAAGAAAGTCCCAGTTTTCCTAAATACTTGTCTTGTTTCCATTTTGCATTGGATACAGTTATAAGGTTGAAACCAATACTTTTGAAAATTTATGAAGTATTTTAGGATATTAATAGCTTAGAGGTTTCTGTTTAGTTTTCAAACATAATTCGAACTGTTTTGTTTAATTTGTGATGGTTCAACTGGAGTTTTGGTTTCTGTTACTTTTGTTTGGAAAGACAAAAGTAAGTCCCTGGGAAAACACAAAACAAATTCCTGGTGGTGTAGTTTTTAAGGCAGTAAATGCTGTGCACACATTTCATGACACCGTGCCAGGTGTTTGTTCTACTCTTAAAGGCTCCTGGTTTCAAACAAAGTCATGGTTAATCTATTTTTTATTTTATCTGTAGATATATCTGGCACTAAACCAAATTGTGCCCTGCCCCACGTCACACTGTGATTACTGTTTCATCTGTAACCCCTACCATCCCATTGTTATGGCCTGGGACTTGCCATGTCCCTGCCCCATCCCAACACACTAAAAACTAGAGAAGGATCTCCTCATAATCAAGACACCCTTTTTCCCACTAAGTACTGTCTTCCTTGGAGAGTCTTCCAAGGTCTGTTCAAACAAGGCGGGGGGCCTTCTTTTCCCCTCAAGTTCTAAACTCTTAGGTAGTCTCCAACTGATGCTAAAGACAAAAAATGGAGATTGTTTTCCTTAATGAGCACAGTGATGACATTCTAGTGGCTAAACCCTGGTCCTGGGAAGATACAGAGTAGAGCCCCTGTGTCATATATGTGATACAGCCACAACACCTGTGTAGTCCAACTCTTTTCATTGTTGGGCTGGACACATCTGCATTTCCAATCTTACCATTTGCTGAAAGAGCAGAAAAGGTTAAATAAGGTGATTTTGCTTACTACCCAATAAAAATCCACACCTCGAGACCCATGAAAGGCAAACTTATTCATCCGTGGACAAACATGAGCGCCTCAGCCAACTGGTAAACAAGGTCTGCCCTGGCTGACTTTAACTGAGAGCTCCTTTTGAAATTCTGTGTCCTCTTTTCAGTCTATATTAGGTGACTTTGGGAAATTACAGATTCAGGCAGGATCTGAAGGGTGCAGGATGTGGGAGTGGACAGGTAGATGAGCAAATATCACATTACTGTTACTGAGGCTTCGGTTCGGATTGACACACAAAAAACCCAAGCAGGGCAGTAGCCACAGCTGTGCTGAGGGATGACTCAGACAACAAGTTGTCAAGCTACCTGTAAGGGATGAACAACAAACCAAGCCTTAGAATAAGGGAAAGATGGGGAGGAAGCAGAATCCAATGACCAGTTAGTCAAGGACAGAGCTAAAGGAATAGGTCTAGCAATTTGGAAACAAACTTCAGCTGTGCAAACAAGTGAAGGGTCTATTCATGAAACATGGATTTTGGTTTGCCCTAAGTGCCCTATTTTTCTTTTCGTGATGCCCCACTGGCCTGCTGAGTCTTCCACAATTTCTCTTTTCCTATTCAGGAAAAGGCAGAACAACCAACCTCTTCCCTGGCCATAAAGAAAACCAAGTACTAACCGCCCACCTCACAAGCCAGTGTGGGATGATTGAAGAGACATAGGTTAATTTGAAAGAGATATCAATCTGGGCAGTAGTACCAAATGCCTTTAATCCTGGCACTCGGAAGGCGGAGGCAGGAGGATCTCTGTGAGTTCGAGGCCAGCCTAGTCTACAGACTGAGTTCCAGGACAGCCTCCAAAGCAATACAGAGAAACCCTGTCTTGAAAAAACAAAAAAAAAAGAAAGAAAGAAAGAAAGAAAGAAAGAAAGAAAAAAGGAAAAGAAAGCTCTCACTACAGAAAAAGCCTAAAAGCAATGGGAATGATGTGAGGCACAAGTCCAGGCACCACTGGGGTTGTATTTGCTGTGCCTGGAGTGTTTCAAAGACATGGAACTGGGGATTGAGACAATCCTACCAGGTCTTGCTTGTAAATTACAGAGACAAACTTACAAATTTGTTTTGTCCGATCGAAAGGCTCTGCATTTTTATG